GTGGGACGGACGTGCAGTTCAGTTTTTGGGCACGCATACGGTGCTGCAGGGATTTTTAGGTGTACCTCTTCGGGCTCTTGCATACCTTTTTCTCGTCAGATGTGTGCGTGTTCTTTAGATCCTCAGATGGCTCTAGCACTTTCGTGACCACGGGCTGAGAGTCTTTTGCTAGATTTTGGCATTTAGCAACTGACATACGGTTTAATGTGAAGACAAACAACAACAACAACAACAGGACAAGCAAGAAGAAGAAAAGGAGGAGGCAAGAGGACTGAGCAACCTAGCCTCTAGACGGGGCCCGGCAAACCAGACCTTACTGTTAGTACCTGTTGGGAATAACGCACTCTCCCAAAGGTGCAACTCCTATCAACCGTAACAATGTAACCGTAACATCCCCCCATTAGCATGATGAACAGCTATTTGTCAACTGTCACATGCTAATCAACGGTAGCAGGAAATGTTTAACACGCAAAGTGACACACTTCCTGTTGGGTTACTATCATGCAATGCCTGTGTGTGGGCTGAACGTTCAACCGAAAATTACAAGAGGTGAATAGTGGCAATACCCAAATAAAATCCACTCCTCTGAATAATTCTCACTGCGTGTTGAACCACGGCCCGACATCGACTTGCGCGACGGAAAACCCGGCCTCCGGGACAAACCCTTCGCTCCCCATCCCGAGAGTCCTAGAATTTAGACTTGACAACCGAAATACCAAGTGACACAACCGATCGCCCCGGTGGTCTAGTGGGTACCCTCGCAGCCTGCTAAGGAAGGGCCAGGTCATGGGTTCGGGTCCCGACAGAGTGAGTTTGTTTTTTCTCGCAAATAAAATCCTGGTCTCCGCTGGAAGCGACGCGCTAGAAAGCTCGTTGTTAGTAAACTTGATCGACTTCATAAGTCGCGAGGGAAGGGATTGCTGTATCCTTCTCGCGATAGAAATATCTCAGGCAGGAACCGCAGGAGGGGGTCCCACCCCCCCTCCTATGTGACCCCGGTTGGGTAGACTAGCTGGTAGAAGTGGAGGATAGGGGCCAGAGGGGCAGACGACAGAATCCAATGATGGGAGAAAAAACATACAAACACCAAAAACTCGGACGTAAAATACCCTAAAAGAACAACGTCCCTCGCTTGGTGAATTCACTGGTTTAGTCGCAGCCCGGCTCTCAACACCTACAGCGCGGGAAAAACCTGGCCACCCACGAAAAAGCCCATTGCGCAAAGCACCACCAACACCAAACCCAATCAAATGCCACGGTACACCGCACAAATCCTCTTGGGTGCTACCGGGCACAGGACCACCCTTCGACTGCAAATTAGACTAGCACACGGCACAAACCCTCGTGGGTGCTACCGGACGCAGGACAACCCTTCGACTGCAAATCAGACCAGGACATCTGACCGGTCGCCCCGGTGGTCTAGTGGGTAGCCTCGCAGCCTGCTAAGGGCCAGGTCATGGGTTTGAGTCCCGGCAGAGTGAGTTTTTTTCTCACTAAATGGATCCTGGTCTAGGATGAAAGCGACGCGCTGCAAGGCTCGGTTGTTAGTAAACCATAATCGACTTCGTAAGGCTGGCTCTTATCGACCGAAAAAACACGGAATATTTCACGGAACCGTTTTTTTTGGAACACATATGGAGGCGTTTTTCCCCGAAAACGTGAAAAGAGGGAGCCGGGATTTTTGGGGGCTTGCTCCTTTCACGGTTCCGGGGAAAACGCCCCGCTTTTTTCCGGGCAGCCGAAGCAAACACCAGTCACGCGTGCTGCCTTCATCACATCACAACTGGACAGCACCCACAACACCCCAAAAAGCTTCCCACGGCAAGTCGACCACCATGGCTGAGCGCGGGAAGCGCCAGGATCCCACAGACCCCGCAGCGCACGGGAGAAGCGACGTCGACGAGCTATCGACGAGGAGAATGCAGCCCAGGAAGACAAGAGATTCACGGTCCTGGGTCTTCTGAGGGCCGTAGTAGTGGCGGCGGGCGTCGTGGCAGCAGGAGAACCTCATCGTGCCCACTGCCCTCAGGAACGGGAGCCCATCTACGAGCCCAAGCGACTTTCGTGGGCCCAACACGAGGCGGATCTCGATAAACGGCGCGGCTGGCGGAGGTCGTACCGCATGGAGAAAGGCAGTTTCCACAAGCTCGTCGGGCTACTCCGCCCTTCGCTGGAAGTCAACGCCTTCTTCGGCGGTGAGTGTTGATGCGTAGATGCAGCCGCCCACGGCACGTATGCGTAAGGCTCCCTCTGGTGTATATATATGTAGAACCGGGGACGAGCAACTCAAAACCAAGGGAGAAACGATATAACAGCTGTAGCATACTGCTGTGTGTACTGCTGTATGTTCCTGCTGCCTTTTTCAAAAAGAAAAACTCGCTCGCCGAAGTAGCAGCCATGCAGGAACATACAGCAGTGCCGCAGCATATCTCGTCTACAGCAGTACTGCTGTAGTATGCATAGTGTACAGCAGTGCGACGCCGACTACCGTACAGCAGTAATAGTTAATCACAATACACGCCGGCACCACTAAAACAAAATACATGCCTCGTCGGGAGCCAATGCAGAATGTCGTATCCCGCAATGACACAACAGCATTCGACACTGCTCCTCATTTGCAAGATATCGTGTGTGTAGGTGATAAACACAGCCGTCTCAGTACCGTAGTCGGGAGGTGGACTGGGCCAGCAATCTGACCAGTTGGTCGAGGACACGCGTCCCCCGTCATAGGTTGCTAGTTAGGTGCTGGCGATTGCAAACATGCCACCTCTGACACTCGCATGACCTGCAAAAATTATCTGCGCGTCGCTCGGAAACCCCACAGCACTGCGATCGCCACGCAACGGCGCCATAGCTGTGGAAGTTCGCGTTGCCGTGGCGTTGAGGATCCTGGCTGGCGCCAGTTACTGGGATGTCCTGCTCATGTTTGGCTTGTCGGTGGCGGTCACATACCAGATCTTGTGGGAGGTGATCGATGCCATCAACAACACGCCTGCGGTTGGGGCATTTGACTTCCCCCTGACCGAGGAAGGATGCATGCGAAACGCCAACAGATTCAAGGTGAGGCCTAGCGGTGGTCAGTACTGCTGCTGTGAGGGTTATTTTTTNGCCAGTTACTGGGATGTCCTACTCATGTTTGGCTTGTCGGTGGCGGTCACGTACCAGATCTTGTAGGCGGTGATCGATGTCATCAACAACACGCCTGCGGTTGGGGCATTTGACTTCCACCTGACCGAGGAGGGATGCATGCGAAACGCCAACAGATTCAAGGTGAGGCCTAGCGGTGGTCAGTACTGCTGCTGTGAGGGTTATTTT